CCCGAACCATCCCACGCCGCCTGAGACCCTCAGTTTACATCTTCAGAGAACTTTGTCCTTCACAGGCCACATTCTGAGCCACGGAGAGGTGATCCTCTCCAGGGTCCCGGGGACTTGCCCCATGGCGTGGCCAGGTGTGCGGAGACCCAGAAAGGATCAGGTCACATGGGCAGGCAGCTTTTGAGCGGAAGGCACAAAAGCACCAGAGTAGCCCAGGGTTGGCCCTGCTGCGAGGGCCTTGAGCCCCTGGCACCCCACAGGTTGGCCCTGCTGGGGAGGCGCTGCCCCCACCTGCCTTCCTGACACCAGCACCAAGAGCCGGGCCAGTGCCGCTTGCTCTGAGCCCTGCCAGCTTCCCTGGGCAGCAGGGCCCGCATCCCTCCCACCACCCAGCCTGCTGCAGCACGGCCCTGTGTGAATGACCCTCTGCGTCCCTCCACGTGTGCAGTGGACCATCAGGCGGGAAGGGACCATCACTGTGTCCAGTGCTGGAGCACATTTCTGCGGCGGTTCCTGGGCCCTGTAAGTAGAGCTCACTTCCTCCCTCTGCTGGAGGTAACTGGACTGGAGACGACAGGCTGCTCTGCTGCCCGCCAGAGCTGATGGCCAGTGCCTGTGATTCAGCTTCCAGCGAGCAGAGTGAAGTCCCTGCTGGAGAAGGGCTTGGAGCCGAGGCCCGGTGGGCTGGTGGCCTGCTGTGGCGGACGCTTATTTTCATTCTGAAATTTCCGACTGGCTTTCAAAATAATAATTTAAAAAATAATTGTAGGTATTTCAAGAAAAGGTCCCTCACAGCTCTCTCTGCCGAGTGGCCTTCCAGCACATGGCGCATGCTTTCTTGTGGCTCCCATGTGTAGCCTGCAGCTGGCTCTGCTCTGGGCAGGCATGGCGCCCACGTCCTTAGGGACCGTCATCTGTCCACTTGCTGGCTTGCAGCTTGGTGTGGGGCAGGTGATGGCGAGGCCTGGCTCAGAGCCCTTGATGCAGAATGGCCACACCAGTACCTGTGACCCTACAGCCTAGATCTACTTGGGCTGTCCCAGGCCTGTGTGGAGTGTGCTGCCCTCTGTCCTGCTCCTGTGACCCCCCAGTGACCCTGGAAACAGAGGGAGGAAGGGTCCTTGTCCTCACCCTGCAGGACCAAATCTCAGGGAGGGGGCTCCAGGGACAGCCTGGATGAGTCCAGCCCTATACTGCAGTCTCAATAAGAAGACCCTGTGGAGTGTCTCTTTACACAGTGCAGAGATCCTCGGGCGACGGGAGATCCTGCAGCTGCACGTGGACATGTGGGTGATGCCTCCCATGACGGCTGTCAGTAGCGGGAAGGAGGGTGTAAGGGCCAACTCCTGGGTCTCCCTAGATGGCTGCCAGGTGCCCGCATGATGTTAGTCCCATCTTCTAAGGACAGCTTAAGGCATCTATGTCTCCCACAAACTCTTCTTGCAGGCGCTTGCCCCAGCAGGAGGGGCTTCCTGTAGCATGTGTGCGCTGCCCTGGGACTCTGCAGCACCGTGCTCAGGGCTGCTGCCTGGCCCTGGAGCGCATGTCAGTGAGGCAGAGGCAGGAGGTGCTGTTTGCCTGGTTTTCTTTCTTTGCCCCGCTCTAAGGACCAAGCCTCCACCTCCTAGGACCAAGCCTCCACCTCTGAGGACCAAGCCTCCTCCTCCTAGGACCAAGCCTCCTCCTCCGAGGACTAAGCCTCCACCTCCAAGGACTAAGCCTCCGCCTCTGAGGACCAAGCCTCTGCCTCCTAGGACCAAGCCTCCGCCTCCGAGGACCAAGCCCCCGCCTCCGAGGACCAAGCCCCCGCCTCCTAGGACCAAGCCCCCGCCTCCTAGGACCAAGCCTCCTCCTCCTAGGACCAAGCCTCCTCCTCCTAGGACCAAGCCTCCGCCTCCGAGGACCAAGCCTCCGCCTCCGAGGACCAAGCCTCCTCCTCCGAGGACCAAGCCCCCGCCTCCGAGGACCAAGCCCCCACCTCCTAGGACCAAGCCCCCGCCTCCGAGGACCAAGCCCCCGCCTCCGAGGACCAAGCCCCCACCTCTGAGGACCAAGCCCCCGCCTCCTAGGACCAAGCCTCCACCTCCTAGGACCAAGCCCCCACCTCCTAGGACTAAGCCTCTACCTCCGAGGACCCAGCCCCCACCTCCTAGGACCAAGCCCCCACCTCCGAGGACCAAGCCCCCACTTCCGAGGACCAAGCCTCCTCCTCCGAGGACCAAGCCCCCACCTCCTAGGACCAAGCCCCCGCCTCCGAGGACCAAGCCCCCACCTCCTAGGACCAAGCCCCAAGCCCCCGCCTCCGAGGTGCTTCAGTCGGAAAGGCCCCGAACGCAGGGAGCAGAGCTATGCAGCATGGAACAGGAGCAGCAGAGGGAGAAGGCTGTGTGAACACAGACGGTGGGAGGTGTTGGAGCTGCAACCTGCAGCCCGTCCTCTGCACTGTGGTTGGCAAGTGCCCTCGGGGGACAGAACGTCAGGGGATCCTGGAGGCCAGGCAGCTGAGGCGCGTGGCACGTGCGGATCGCTCCAGGTTTGGCCGCCCTGAGTCCCCAGTGTCGAGGTGCTCTCCTGGCTGGACTCCAGGGCCCTTTGCACGTCTGCACCTTCTGTCCCCACAGCCTGAGCTGGCGCTGGACAGGGCCGGGCGCTGTGGAGCTCTGCTGTTACTGGGAGCGCGTGTGTGCCCTTCCCCTGGGAGGCATGTGGCCTCGCCTTCTCGGCTGTGTGGCCTCACGTGTCAGCACCTGGAGCCCAGATCTGTGTGTCAGCCCATTCTGATTCTCCAGGGCACAGTCCACAGGAGGTAGTGTCCTCTGGGCAGCGTCCCCACACAAGCCACACGTTTTCTGAGAATGGCTGGCTGCCTGCCTGTGCCCTACAGCTGGACAGTGGTGTTGACCTGCCGCCTGCTGGAATGCCGGCCTGGGGCCTGGTGTCAGGGCCTCCCCGCTCAGCGCTCCCAGAGGACCCGGCCAGGCGGACAGCCCCTGGGGGAACCCTGTGGGCAAGAGTCGAGGGGTCCTGCAGCACTGGGCTCTTCCCCTGTCCTGGGCCAGGAGTCCTTTGGACAGCCCTCTTGCCCTTCAGGGCCCTACCTGCAGCTTTCTTCCTGGGCCCTCAAATATTGGCCGGGGGGAGGGGACGATCCAGTTGCCCTTAACATAGCTCAGAAATCGCGAGAAAGAGCGTTTCCAGGGCCAGTGTGGTAGCAGATGATCTGGCTTTGCATCGGCCAATTGCACTCTCTAGCACATGTCTGTCATTGCCTAGTGCCACTGGTTTTCGTCTTCTCCTTTGTCACTGTGCATTTCTGGGTGACTTATCACCTTGGGAGGTCATGGGAAAAACACAGGGCACAGGAAAATGCAAGTTAAACCTGGTATCCAAGGTCCTCACGGGGGGGGTCTGGGTTCGAGCTCAGCCTGTGCTGGGCTGCAGTGTGCCTCTGGGTCCGGTGCTGGTGTGTGTGCGGTTCCTTGGAAACCACAGCCACGGCCATGTCTGGATGAGGAGGGAGGTTTAGGCTCATGGGTGAGAGAAACTGCCCAGAAACCCTGAAGGTCGGCAGTCACCCAGACAGACCCAACACCGGGCTGCAGGGTGGGGCTGTGGAGCGACTGCCGCATCTGCTGCCAGAGAGACGACAGCCTGGGGGCACCGGCTGCCTTCCATTCCTGCCCTAGCAGCCCTACCAGCTCTGTCCCTCTGCAGCGTGGGGTGGATACCTCGGCTCAGCTTTCTTGCTTGGTGTTATAAAGGTTGTCACGTATCACTGAAGTCTGTATGAATGTCACTTTGGTGCTTCCTGAGCATTCATGGAACTTACCTGCCTGTGCCCAGCAGGTGCTGGGGTCATGGTGTTGGGCAGTCTGGTTGCTATGCATAGGACGGGGATGAACATCCTCAAGTGCAGGAATCTAGGGTGCGTTTCCAGGAGGGAGAACACGGAGGGTCTCCTCTCAGGTGGGTCAGAGGATTGACCCGAGATGATCAGAGGGCACCACTGAGACGTCTGCCTCTGGGTGAGGCACTGGGGTCTCGCACCCTGTGAGCTCCAGATTCATCATTTCCCCGGACTCCCGTAGCCGTGCTTCTTGAAGACCCTCAGAAGTGCTCTGGCCACTTGGGCACCAGTGCAGTGCCACCTGCATGGACGGCCCACCCTGTGGTTTGAGCCCACGCTGGGTGCTCTCAGGCTTGGCCTTCTGTGTGCAGAGACGCCCTTCACAGCCTGTCCTGCTGTGGGCTGGCCTGGTCCTTGCAGAGCTGTGTAGCAGGTGCTCCTGCCCAGCCACCCTGTGGAGATGCCCTTGGCCTGCTGTGTGCATCGCACAGGGCTCGCCATGCCTGGAAGGGTCTGGGTGTGGGTTCTGTGGCCAGCACCGTGTGCCTCAACTCCAGTTTCCCTTTGGAGAGCCTGTCCTTGGTTCTGATAGGTGTTCCTTGGCCACAGGAGACCCGGCTTCTCACTTCTCTGCGCCAGTCTCCTCTGCCCAGCAGCCAATTAGCAGTACATTAGCGATGTCAGCATGTTGGCTGACACCACAGTTCAGTGCCCAGAGAGCATGCTGGGAGGGCCGCGCGGGGCCCAGGCAACACAGGGCTTCTTGCCGCGGTGGACTGATGGTCCTGGGGTTGGCGAGGGCTTCCTGGGGGCTCACTGCTGAGTGGGTTCTCTCGTCCTCCCCAGCAGCCCTCTGAGCCATGTGCTGATCTGAGCCCTAGGAAGGGAAACTGGGGCTCGGGAAAGAGGGGCCCCCTGCCCGGGTCGTAGCTGCTAAGGACTCGCGCAGTGCTCCCTCCATGGGCCAGGCCACTGCAGGCCTGGGCTCAGGCCTAGCTGCTCTTTGCCTGGGACCCTGTCTGTCTGCAGAGTGCCTGTTCACGGCCCTGTCCCACTATGGCTGGAGATGCTGGTCCTTTCAGAGTGGTCCTGGGGGCCGGGGGGCTCGGAGCTCCGCCCCAGGTGTGGTGCTGAGCAGTGCTCGGCCTGCCAGGTGTGCATTGTGCAGAAGCGGGACACGGAGAAGATGTATGCCATGAAGTACATGAACAAGCAGCAGTGCATCGAGCGCGACGAGGTGCGCAACGTCTTCCGGGAGCTGGAGATCCTGCAGGAGATCGAGCACGTCTTCCTGGTGAACCTCTGGTGAGCTCCCAGGGCCTGCAGGGCCGCCTGGGCAGAGGGACTGCCAGGGCTGGATACCGTCCACATCCTCTTCTGCAGACTGCCCTCCCTGCTGCTCCCTGGCCTTGAGCCTCTGGATCCTCCATACCTCCCCTCCCAACCATCTCGCCTTCCTCTGCCCAGGGCCAGTGGGAGGCCAGGGGCCTGGGCACACTGAGGCCAATGCAGCATCTCCACTGGGCCTGCTGGGAGCCCAGAGCTTCCAACAGTGGAGATGTGCTTCCCATGGGTGTCTTGCACTGAAGTGGGGCCTGGTGTCAGGGCCTCCCCTGGTGTCAGGGGTTGACCTTGAGTTCCTTGCAAACCTGCAGGCCCTGAGGAGTTTCACCCTCCTCTCTCCCCCCAGTGCAGGGGTCCTCCCTGACCCAGGGGTCCTCTCCATGGTGGGTTCTGCTCTGTGATGTTCTTTCATATAGGTGCAAACAGTCCATGGAGCACATGGGGGAGCCCTGGCCAAGCAGCCTCTGGAAGGTTTAGGAGCCCCTCTCCCGCAGGCCACTTACAGGGAGAGGCAGCCCAACTCGTGCTAGGGATGAGGGAGGGCAGGTGTGTTCCTCTTGAGGTGGACTTGGGCAGCCCTTCAGGGAGTAGCCAGAGCTCAGGTGCTTGCCTGGGTCCCCACAGTAGGGTGAGAGACTTCAAAGTGGGCAGCAGCCCTCCCCAGGGGCTGCACGACATGGCTCAGGAGCAGTGTCATGAGGCTCTGCTCCACAGTGACAAGGGTGAGTGCCTGGACAGGCAGCTGGGGGAGATGGAGTGCCGACCTCAGGCCCCAGGCTGCCCAGGCCTAGAGGACAGAGCACGAGAAGCTCTTTGCCCCTGTCCTGTGTGGCAGCCCCAGCCCCTGCTGTGTGTGGCCACTGTCCTCACTCGCCCAGCCCCCAGGCTGGTTTCCAGGCAGGAGAGGGGCTGGTGGGCCTGTCCACATCGTTGTGGTCCTGGTCTGTCCTGTTTCAGCATCCCAGGGCCTCAGGCCTAAAGGTAGGGGACACAAGCACCAAGTGCCGTTAAGCCTGCCCTTCACCTGTGGCCACGGAGGACTTCTTGTGAAGGGAAGGACCTCAGATCTCCCTCCTCTGTGGCCTTGGGGCCCTCCATCTCTGAGAGCAGTGTTGCCTAGTGGTCAGGAGCACAGGCTGCTGGGTTGGATCCTCCTCCCCCTGCCAAGGACAACACACCTAACCTCCCTGTTCTGTTTACCTGTGCAAAGGGGGAGGAGTGGTGCTGTGCTGCCTTCTGGAGCATCTGTGTGGGCGGAGCTCCAGTCTGTGGGCGGAGCTCCAGTCGTCTGTGGGCGGAGCTCCAGCTGGAGGCCTCCAGTCACCCTAGACTTTCACATGTCTTCACTCCGGCTGCAGAACTCCCAGCCCACTGCCAGCTGCTGGGGTGGCCCACTATCATAGGGCCACACGGGAAAGAGCATCATGGCCTAGCCTCCAGTTGGGGCTACAGGCTCTTATTCACGGCTTTCTGGGACCCTGGGCCCTTTCTGTAGCCTGATGTCCTGATCCCATTGGTCTGTGGCTCTCTACCTGGGCTCTCTTCCCTAAGCCCCAATCTGTACCGCCTCCTTGAGGTCACCCTCCACTGAGGATGAAGACAGGATGGCTTATGGAGGGCAGTAGAGGGACAAAGCATAAAAAATGAGTTCCTTGTGACTTTCTTCTTGAAAAATCCAGTTCTTTAAATGTTACACCTGAGAACTCTCAAAAGAGATTACAAAGCAGAAGGAGGACTGTAAAGTGTTGCTTAGCTACCACCATCATCATCACCACCATCACCATCACCACCATCACCATCACCAACCTCACCATCACCATCATTACCATTACCACCATCGCCATCATACCATCACCACCATCACCATCACCACCATTACCATCACCGCCATCGCCATCATACCATCATCGCCATCATACCATCACCACCATCACCATCATACCATCACCAACATCATCACCATCACCACCATCACCACTATCACCACCATAACCACTATCACCATCACCACCATCACCATTACCACCATAATCACCATTGCCATCGCTATTGCCATCACCACCATCACTATTATCACCACCACCATCATCACCATCACATTATCATCACCATCACCACCATCACTATCATACCATCACCATCACCACCATCACCATCATACCATCAACACCATCACCACCATCATCACCATCACCACCATCACTATCATACCATCACCATCAACACCATTGCCATTGCCATCGCCACCATCACCATCATACTATCGCCACAATCACCACCATCATCACCACCACCATTATCGCCACCATCACCACCATTGCCATCGCCACCATCGCCATCACCACCATCATCATTGCCATCATCACCATCACTATTAACATCACCATCATCACCATCACATCATCACCATCACCATCACCATTACACCATCACCATCACCATTATCACCAACATCGCCATTATCATCACCATCCCCATTATCATTACCATCACCACAATCACCACCATCATCACCACCACTATCACTATCATCACCATCATCATTACCATCACCATCGCCATTGCCATCACCACTATCACCACCATTGCCATTGCCATCACCACCATCACTATTATCATTACCATCATCACCACCATCACCACCATCGCCATTATCATCACCATCACCACCATCACATCAAATCACCACCATCACCATCACCATCACCACCATCACCATTATCATCACCATCACCACCATCCCATTATTACCACCGTCATCACCATCACATCTCATCACCACTGTCATCATCATCACCATCACATCTTATCACCACTGTCATCATCATCACCATCATATCACATCACCACCCTCATCATCACCACCATCACATCACATCACCACTGTCATCATCATCACCATCACATCTCATCACCACCCTCATCATCACCACCATCACATCACATCACCACTGTCATCATCATCACCATCACATCTCATCACCACCCTCATCATCACCACCATCACATCACATCACCACTGTAATCATCATCACCATCACATCTCATCACCACCCTCATCATCATCACCATCACATCTCATCACCACTGTCATCATCATCACCATCATATCACATCACCACCCTCATCATCACCACCATCACATCACATCACCACTGTCATCATCACCACCCTCATCATCATCACCATCACATCACATCACCACCGTCATCATCATCACCATCACATCTCATCACCACCCTCATCATCACCACCATCACATCTCATCACCACCCTCATCATCACCACCCTCATCATCATCACCATCACATCTCATCACCACCCTCATCATCATCACCATCACATCTCATCACCACCCTCATCATCATCACCATCACATCACATCACCATTGTCATCATCATCACCATCACATCACATCACCACCGTCATCATCATCACCATCACATCTCATCACCACTGTCATCATCACCACCCTCATCATCATCACCATCACATCACATCACCATTGTCATCATCATCACCATCACATCTCATCACCACCCTCATCATCATCACCATCACATCACATCACCATTGTCATCATCATCACCATCACATCTCATCACCACCCTCATCATCATCACCATCACATCACATCACCACCGTCATCATCATCACCATCACATCACATCACCACCGTCATCATCATCACCATCACATCACATCACCACCGTCATCATCATCACCATCACATCTCATCACCACCCTCATCATCACCACCATCACATCTCATCACCACCCTCATCATCACCACCATGGCAGCTGGTGATTAAATACAGTCCTTCCCTCAGCACCACACCAAGCATTCACCTGCACTCTCTCATTTCTTCTTTAACAGCCCTCCAAGGCAGATATTTCTATCTCGATTTTACAAAATAAACCAGGGCAGCCTGAAATAACCCAGGGACAGACCCTGTGTTTCTGCTCCCCCTTTGTCACTTAGAGACATTTCTGGGCCCTTGCTGGGCCACCTCCAGGACAGGCTGTTCTGCCTTTCCCCAGGATCTCAGCTCAGAGCAGCTCTGAGCAGGGGCAGATTCATTGCCCTTGGCAGGACTGGGACGGTGGCAGTGGTGTAGGGCTGTGGTCCTCAGGGTGTGCATGTCGGGTGTGGCAGTAGGCGCGACTCTGCTCCCCAGCCATGCACATGCCAAGTCCTCCCTCCTGCCACAGGTACTCCTTCCAGGATGAGGAGGACATGTTCATGGTGGTGGACCTGCTTCTAGGTGGGGACCTGCGCTACCACCTGCAGCAGAACGTCCAGTTCTCTGAGGACACGGTGAAGCTGTATGTCTGTGAGATGGCGCTGGCCCTTGATTACCTGCGCAGTCAGCACATCATCCACAGGTGCATGTGCCTGATGGGGTGGGCCCTCCTCAGTTAGGTGGGGCTGCCAGCAGCCTTGGGTCAGGCCGCCCGGGGCGTCTGGACTCCAGCAGGACTGGTCTAGCTCCTCTGCCTACCCTTGTCTGAGGACCTGTCCCCAGAGATTGTGTCTGAGCCCATCAGTGCCACCTCCAAGCTCATCTCCTCGTTGTGCTGCTGCTGCTGAGCACCTGGGGGTGGACCCTGTCCAAGCAGGTCCACTTGAGGCTGGACACAGAAGGCCATTAGTCCTCACAGATGGGCCATAGGACCTGCCACACTGTGGTGGCCATCACTGGCCTGTTTAACTACAGGCATCCTGCCATGGCCTAGCAGATGCCCACTGGCCCCTCTACCATGTCCTGAGGGAATCCAAGTCCATCCTGACATTGACTTAACACAGGTGAAATAAAGGCGGCCACAGAGCAGAATGAAAAGATCTTTGGTGGAGTATAAATGCAGCCCTGATCCCTGCCTCTCTGCCCTCGGCAATGCCACTGTGTGTCATGATTCAGGTACCCCACAATCACCAGGTACCCCATAATCACTGTGTGCCTGGAAATCAGGGTGGGGTGAGGCCCGAGGCCAAATGTGGGAGAGACAGACCTGATTCAGCACTTCTGTGTAGCCCTGGGGCTCCAGGGGGCCAGCCTGGGATCATGGGCTTCATGCTGCAGGGCTTGTCCTGTCTAGACTAGATGCCAGGTGCTGGTGGCTCCCCTACAGCAGCTTCCTTGCCAGAAGGGGGCCTCTCTGCTCCCCTCACCAGAGCCCTTAGGCCCTAGTGTTTCCCCAAGGACCAAGCCAATCTGGTGCCCTGGGCTCTGCCAGGGGCAGAAGTGGTCTGGGCTCAGGACTTCCCCCATCTGTCCTTCCAGGGACGTCAAGCCTGACAACATCCTGCTGGATGAGCAAGGTGAGCTGGGAGCCTGGGACGGCGGAGGGAGGTGCTGGGTGTCCCGCCCATAAGGACAGGCCCCCAGTCCTGGGCAGTCACACGGGGCACTTCTTGCAGGGCACGCACACCTGACCGACTTCAACATCGCCACCATCATAAAGGATGGCGAGAGGGCGACAGCCTTAGCTGGCACCAAGCCCTACATGGGTAAGCCCAGGCAGCTGAGCCCCAAGTCTAGCCCTGCCCCTGGCCCCAGTCCTCACTCCCACCCTGTTGGCCTGCAGGACTGGGCTTGTGCCCTGGCCCTAAAGTCCCAGCATGGTGATGGAGCAGACCTGACAGATGTCCCAGTGGCTGGTGCAGAGGGGTTTGAGGGGTGCAGGACAGCAGTGGAACATGAGGACCAGATGGCCCCTGTCACACGTGGGGTGGGCCCTGGAGGGAGCTGGGTGGGCTGACTCAGCCTCGCTGGGCCGAGGCAGAAGGGAGCTGGCTGTCCCTGGTGGGAAGGGGAAGGGGCAGGGACCACTGGGGCGGGCCTTCCTGTTCACCCCTGGACACAGCCTGTTCTTGAGACCTGTGAGGTGCCCAAGTGTCAGGGTGGCCAACCCCTCAACAGCTCAGCTATTCTCTCCCTCTCTGTCGGGAAGCTCCGGAGATCTTCCACTCCTTCGTCAACGGTGGGACTGGCTATTCCTTCGAGGTGGACTGGTGGTCAGTGGGGGTGATGGCCTACGAGCTGCTGCGAGGATGGGTACGGAGCCCTGTGTCACTGCCTGGCCCCTGCCCCCAGCTGGCCGCTCCCTGCATGGGGTGCCCCAAGAGTCAGGGAGGGACGAGGCTGCCCCAGTCCCTGGCGAGAGTTCACATGTGGCGAAGGGCCTGGGTTGATGATCTATGCCTGAGCCAGAGAAGGAGGGAGCCAATCTCAGGGTTTCCCAGGGATGGTGAGTGGGCCTGCATTCGGCCCCTGCCAGGGGACAGGACAGAGTGTCCAGCAGGGGCTGCCTCCTCGGAACTCACTGCAAGCAAGGCTCCTGTTGGGCCCTGTGCTCCTCCCCCAGGGACCACGGCCAGCCTGGGGCCTGGAGGCTGCTGCTGCCCTGGGTCTTGTACTGCCCTCTCCAGCCCCTTTCGGGGGCACCATACCCGCTCAGCCACCCCATGGGACCCACCTTGAGGAAGCAGCTCCTCCTGGTCCTTTAGGTCCTCTGAGGGGAGGTGCTTCCTGTCCAGATGGGCTTTGGGGCTGAGATGCAGGGTTCACCCAGACGTAGGCTCCTGTCCCGGCTCTGACAGTGGAAGCCGTGCCCAGGCTTTGCAAGCACCTGGGCTGGGGGTGGGGCTCTGGGATGCTGGGGGTGGGGCTCTGGGGTGCTGGCACTGGTGCCTGGCACTGTTCTGGGTGTCCTGGGGTGAGCACACCTGGCGCAGTGCCTCCTGCCCACAGCGACCCTATGACATCCACTCGAGCAACGCCGTGGAGTCGCTGGTGCAGCTGTTCAGCACCGTGAGTGTCCAGTACGCACCCACCTGGTCCAAGGAGATGGTGGCCCTGCTTCGGAAGGTGAGCCCCACCTCCTCTGCACCCACAAGGATGCGCCCCTCCACGCCCTCTGAGCTCGGGCAGCACTCCTCCCCAGGGCACAGACCCCATCACCAGCACTGTGCCCTGGCCCCCGTGGTGGCTCTTAGGTCCCAGCTCAGGAAAGCCAGGCTGGTTCCTGGGTGTGTGTTTTGAGATCTGGTAGCAGCTGTGTCTTCACAGCAGCTCAGGGGCACTGGCCCTGGGCCAAGGCACTGGGCACCTTGCCTGTCAGATCCTCGCGGGGAGCCTGGGCACCGGGGCCACTGGTCACCACACCCACTTCACATGCTGAGAACTCGGGTGTCGGGCCATCCACACTGCACTCTGGCCTCCTGTGCCCCTGCCTGTCCCCTTGGCAGTGCACATGGCCTGTACCGCCCCTCCCAAGGAGCAAACCAAGAAGACTCCAGGTCACCTGTGCACCTCTCAGGGCTGAGCTCTGTCTACAGCAGCAGAGGGGATGTCAGCCTGCAGGGACACAGGGCCATGCTGTGGCCTCAGTAGTACCTACCCCCATGGACCAGGCTGGACTAGGAGCTGTTCCTCGCTCAGAGAACCATTCTTTAAGTGGCTGGTGCTTCCAAAAAGAGCAGAGTCAGAGCCTAACCCAGGGTCAGGACAGGGTGTGGAAAGAGGCCTTCTCACAAGACCCGTCTGGCTCCTGGCTGGGCTGGAGGTGCCTAGCTGTCAGAACCCTGCTGCCCTGGCCCCTTGGGGCTTGGGGAGTGTGCACAGGTGGGAGTGGCTTGCATTAGTGACTGTCCACATGGTACCTGCAATTGAAGGGAGAGCGTTAGCTGGGCCTCTGCTGCCACCTGCTGGTATCCTGTCAGCATGCCCCTGAAGATCCTGTCCTGGGGTGCCAGGGCACCCAGGTCAAATTGTGCCTTGGACCACATTGCTTTCCTGACCACGATTCTTTTCCTGAAATCAGTGCCACCTTTCCTGTGTGCACTTTGGATTTCTGAACTCAGACCTGGCAGGCACCCCCCACCCCTCCCAGGACCCTGGCTTGGGACAGGTGGCCCCTCCTCAGTGGGGTTGGCTCTGGGTCCTGGCTGGCGGGCTGCCCGTCTGATGGGAGCCTCATTGCAGCTTCTCACGGTCAACCCCGAGCACCGGTTCTCCAGCCTCCAGGACATGCAGGCAGCCCCGTCGCTGGCCAACGTGCTGTGGCATGACCTGAGTGAGAAGAAGGTGGAGCCGGGATTCGTGCCCAACGTAAGCAAGCCTGCGCTCAGAGGGGCTCCAGGGCCAGGCGGAGGGCCAGGCTCAGTGCCCTGTCCCTCCACAGAAGGGCCGCCTGCACTGCGACCCCACCTTTGAGCTAGAGGAGATGATCCTGGAGTCGCGGCCCCTGCACAAGAAGAAGAAGCGGCTGGCCAAGAACAGATCTCGAGATGGCAGCAGGGACAGCTCCCAGTCAGTGAGTGGCGGGCTTTCCTCGGGGTCCCCTCCACTGCCCGTGCACGGCACGCAGAGCTCCCTGCACCGTGTTCTGCAGGCATCAGGATGGGACACGCATTGGCAGGTCCAAGGGGTGGTCTTTCTGCAGACCTGAGAAGGCCTGAGGCCCCCCTTCCAGCCTCCCAGAACCCTGTCCCCCATTCACACAGCTTTCCTGAGCCCCTTGCTCCTTCTGAAATGGGCCATGCAGTGACCACTGTCAGTGCTGGCTGTCAGCACTGTGGGACATGCGCGGGAAGTCCTCCACACCACGCCCAGGCGCTTGGCTGACCAGGCGCAGTGGTGTCCAGGCGCGTCCGTGCCCGGTGCGTTAGTGTCTGGGGCTGCCATGCCATGCCAAATGACCACACCCCAGTGGCTGAGACAACAACAGCATTTTGTTTCATGGTTCTGGAGACCCAAGTCCAAAATCAGGGTGTGGGCAAAGCTGTGCGCGGGAGGAAGCCCTTTCCTGCCCTCGCGGCTCCCGGGGTGGTTGTCAATCCTGAGCCTTCCTGGGCTGGGGCATGAACCACCGCAGTCTGCCCCCATTGCCACATGGCCTCCGTCCCTACAAGGACCCAGTTGTATTTAGGGCCCACTGTACCCTGCCATGCCCTCATCCTAGGTGGACACCTGTGGATACCTGTATCTGAGTTAAGTCACCTTCATAGGTGGCAGGGTTAGGTCAGGAACAGGTTTCTTGTTGCGGGGGAGGGGGGGCAATTCAGCCCATAATCCGGGGTAGAGCTTGTGTGCACAGAAGAGCAACTGTGGCTGTGAGTTGGAGTCAGGTGACGGTGGAGGCGGTCACTGTCCTCCTGCCCCTGAGTCTGTGTGAGCCTGTGGGGGACACTCAGGGGTGGCCCAGGCCCCCACCCCTGGGAAACTTCCCCAGGCCTGGTGAGCCCCTTGTCCTGGGTAGAAGATGGGCATGACTGATGTGGGGTGCAGGGCTGGCGTCATCTCTGGGGTGCTGAAGTTTTTCACGGAACACCGGCCCATCCTCCGTCCCCCTGTCCTGCTGATGGCGCCCTGGAATTGCAGGTGAGGCGCTAGTCACCAGGTGGTAGGAGGTTCTCCCTTGGAATGATCAGGCTGCACTTAGGAGGGCACCTCCAGGTCAAGGCCTTGGGGTGCGGGAGCTGCCCCAGGTGGACGGGTCTTCATGAGGAGCCCAGGGCGGGCAGTGTGCAGAGTTCAGAGGGCCACACCAACCTCGGGCAGATGCTGTGGAAGGGAACAGGTGGTGGGGGCCTGGGCCTTGTGCGGGGTCTGTTGTGGGAGTGTGGCTGGAGGGTGGACGGTGCTGAGAGGTGCCACTAAGGGGACCCAGTGCTGTTTGGGAAGATTAAGAACCTCGAGCCTGGGCGGTTTTACTCGGCAGTTTTCCTTTGATGCAGCTCACACACCGCACAGTCCACCCGCTGGCGTGTCCAGTTCCGTGGTTGCTGCGTTTCTTGGGGTCTGCCCACCACCGCAGCAGGTGTCAGAACTTCTCCACAAGACAGAGTGGCTCCCAGTGCCTCCCCCTGCAGGGCCTGGTGTCCCCAGGCTGCTCTCTGCCTCTGGTGAGCTGCTCTCGTGGAGCTGGGCAGCCCGTGGTCTTTCGAGGTCGGCGTCTTTCACGTGGCACGGTGACCTCAGTTCAGCCATGCCTTTCCACACATCAGTCTGCATCTCTCTGTTGCTGGAAGTCACATCTTATCTGTGGGCGGATTGCAGTTCACGTGCCCGTTCGGCCGCTGGTGGGTGTCTAGGGGTTCCCGTGGCTGGGCCCCTGTGAACCGTGCTGCTCTGAACACACGTGTGCAAGTCCTCGCGTGGGCTCGAGCGCTCGCCTTCCCGGGTTGTGCCCAGGAGTGACGCTGTCGGGCCACCTGACGCTGCCGTGCCTCAGGTCTCAGGAACCACCACGCTGCCCCACGGCTGCACCGTTCTGATTCCTGGTGGCAGTGTGAGGGCTCCACTCCTCACCCTGCTCTGGGTCGTCGCTTTATGCATGGTGCCGTGGCGCTGGCAGTGGGTGGCGGCTCGTGAGATCTGCGGTCCCCGACCAGCAGTGAGCAGCGTCTTCTCTGGTGTTCCTTGGACACTTCCTCCAGGAGGCGTCTCCGGGTTCCTTTAAAGGGGGTTTTCTCCTGGAGGCCACCCGACGGCTTCTCTTACCTGGTGTATTTCCGACCACTCACAGCGGGACGTGCGGAGCACTGAACTCCTGCCTGCTGTGTTTCTTTCTGTGGTATGCGGCTTTCTTGTGTTAGTCCCTCCTTGTCCCTCTCGGTCTGCCCTCTCTGGTTTTCATGAGGCACTGTACACGATTCTGCTTCACCTTCTGCCTTAGTGCGTCGGTTTACTTCTTTTACAAATGTGGTAGTGGTTGCAGAATTTGCAAAGCACCGTTATCTCCCTTCGGCCTCCAAGAAGCACTGCTCCCACCCGTGGAGGTGCCTCCGGTCTGCTTCTCCGTCCTGGTGACATTGCTGCCATGTACTGTCACATTGTTGTCTTAATAATGATCTTTCAGGTGGCTTAGGAAGGGAAACAGAAGGCCTTGCCTTCCCTCTGTGCCTCCCTGAGGCTGCCTTTCTGGTGTGGACCCACCTCTGGCCTGCCTACGTGCCCCCTGGGGAACTCCCCACGTTCCTAAGGATAGATGCTCTCCGTTGGTGCTCTGAGAAAGTCTCACTTTCCTTTGCATTTGAAGGGTGATGTCCCTGGATTCAGGATTCCAGGTCAGTGCGTTTTCTTTGGATGCTTGGAGCCTCTCCACGCTCTTCTTTCTTGCATAATCCACAACAAGAAGTCTGATGCAGCTCTTTGCTTTGCATTAAGCAGGATCTCCCCCGGCTACTCTCAGGACTGTTCTCAGTGGCCCTCTGCAGGTGGATGTGCTGGGCCAGGCGTGGGCAGGCTCAGGTTCATCCCGCACGGTGCTCTCTGAGCTTCTTGGATCCCTGGTTTGGTGTCTCACTAATTTTAGAAAATTCTGAGCCATTGTTGGGGCTTGGTTCACCTCTGGATTTGGGGGTAGTGACAGCCCTTCATCCCCTCTCTGGTGGGCCCAAGAAGAGTCGTGGCTCTTGCATCTGATCATCCTTTTCTAGCTGTGAGTGTGGGAGAGGCAGAGCCACAGTTCTGTTGACCCCTGTTTCTTTGCAGGGTCGTTCACTTACGCATTCTTGATGCCAGTGCCTTGTCGGGGGTCTGCAGTCTGGTGCTCGGTTCTGCGGCCCTCTTCTGACGGCGTCACTGGGCAGCTGGCGCTCAGCTCTGCGGCCCTCTTCTGACCGCGTCACTGGGCAGGACTCTTTTCCATTCTGCTGCTGTCTGTTGTCCCGTGTCTTTCTTTTTTTTCCCTGTGATTTGCCACATCGAGGAAGCATCACCTAAAGTCACGACGATTTCCTTCCCTGTCTCCTCCCAAGCCCATTTTGAGCTGGTTGTCATGTGTGGTGCCCCGTGAGGTCCTGCGGTGTCCCTCTGCCCGAGGACTTCCAGCCACCCCACTGAGCTGCTTGGCAGTGTGTTCAGAGGCCAGCTGACTGTAAGGGCAGGTTTGCCTGTGGACACACAGCTCTGCCCTGTTGGTCTGCATGTCCCCTCGTGCCTGCACACCCGTCTTGATCACGGCGCCTGTGGACTCAGTGCTGAATTGGGAAGCAACTCTCCGCCTTTGTTCTTTTTCAAGATTAATAGCCTGTTCTGGGTCCCTGGCGTTTCCAGCACATCCTGAGAGGTATGGAAGCTTCCTCTGAGCTTCTTAGCAAGTCTGTTACAGAATTAGGGGCCACAGCCTGTCTAGTACCACAGGTAACATCTGGGGTCTCTACTGAGTCTCGGCACGGACAGGCGCTCCACAGATGTGCATAGCCATGAGGATTTGTGTGCATGTGTATCACTCGGGAGGGGGCTCCAGCAGCTGTCGCTCAAGGAATAGGAGAAACTGGCGAGGGGTGGCCGCCAGGCGGAGTCCTGTAGAGAGTGGCCTCAGCCTAGCCTGCTGCGGCCTCTGGGTGTGGATGTGATGCAGAGGTGGCCTGCTCTGGGGACCTGGTTGTCCTCAGCCCTACGCTGACCAGCCACTTGTTAGGGGCCCTCCAGCCCTGTGTGTGTTGGCAAAGGACTCTCCAGCTGGCCAGTGAAGAAGGCACAGGTGTGGGCACTCAGGAGAGGCCCTGCGGAACCTGCCAGGAAGACGCTGCACAGGCTGCTGTCAAGTGTGCCTGGAGCCTCCTGAGAGGAGTGCTGTGTAGACAGGGCTCCTGGTGGCTGAGTGTTTGCAACAGCCCACCGTCACCACTCGGAGCCACCGGTTCTAGGAGCCTTCGGGGAGCATCTCCTTGGGCTCCTGGGGCCCTCTCTCCCCCGGAGAGCTTGGGTGTGCAGGTCCAGTGGGTGGGCCCCACCTCGCCTGTGGTCCCCGCCCCCACCCCTGCCCCCACAGGGTCTGCACTCAGGGCAGCGCGGCTGGCCCTGTTCCCGCGCCCTGGTTCTTCCCCCGGTCATGCCTCCCTCAGTGTCAGCATCTTGCTGGTTCCCTCCTGCCCCACACCACACCTTAGACCTCGCCCAGAGGGGCCTGACCTCTGTGTGCGTGACTTTCTCAGAGCAGACTTGGTGCACCTGGGCACTTGTCATCAAAATGAGGCTGGGGGTGCAACACAGCAAGGTGCCTGGACTTCCCGGGGCAGAAGCCCACCCCTTCTTGATGATGAAGGTCAGTCCCCTGTCAGGATGGTGCCTCCTCTGGGAGCCACCCCAGTTGCCCGCCCGGTGCTCTGAGGCACAGCACTTCACAGAGAGGAGAGGGCTCTAGAGATCTGCAGAGCAACCCCGGCCTTCAGCCCAGCAGTCTGCACCTGCTGCACATACTGGCTGAGGAACCCCCTGAGACTGGCAGAGACCCCGGGGGGACTGGGCTGAGCAACTGCAGGGCTCACGCGTACCACCCAGGTGTCCAGCCACGCGCTCAGAAGACGTTGCTCAGGACTGGGGAAGATGAGCTGCTTCCCAGACTCCGAGACACCTGCCACAGTGCCTGCTTCTCTCCTGCTGCAAGGAGGACTAGCAGTGACACCCTAAGGACCGCATCACTGGGTCCCTAAGAGTAGTGGTAATGGGACATGCTCCTACATGTCAGAGAACTTGTCTCCCACGCTCTGGGGCACTGACTGACAAGCGCACTGGGACCTGCCACTTCCTCCTACCCGGCAGAATGAACGCGGCGCCACCAGGGGTATGAAGGTGGAGCACCATCTGGTGACTGAGGTTCTGGCTACTTTGTGACAGAACAGGGGCAAGAATCCAGAAGCACACTGTTGTCCTTGGGTGAATGCCCGTATCCCTGCCCCTTGGCTGGCTGAGCAGGAAACAGTGTCCCCCTCACGGTGGCCACGGGTGCAGTCCCTGCCCGTCTCTGCTGGTGGATCTGCCCTGGGTCAGCCACTGCAGGTGCAGCTACACAGGGCCCACCCTCATGGCCCTCAGCCATCTGGTTCATGCAGGGCCATGATGGGACCACCACCCTCTTGCCCTAAGGTGGAAAGACAGAACCAAGACCAGAAGTCTTATCTGTCACTGCCCCTGCTGACACCCACTTTGCTCCCCATCCAGGTCAGAGGTGGGATCTGGAAAGGTGGGGTCGGGAGGTGGGGGAGCAGTTTCGGGGATGGCTGTCTAAGCTCTGTGGAGGGATCGCTGACGTGGAACTGGGCACAGCTGGGTGTCGTTGACCTTGTGGCCCAGGTCTCCCAGTGAAGTAATCTGCACCCCAAGTTCACCGTCCGTCAGCTCTGCGTCAGTCCCCTGGCATGTGTGCGTGCTGGGGGTGTGATCCCAGGCCCCCGTCAGCAGACTTCAGCACACAGTGCAGCTAACTTGTCACCGTGCTGTACCCTGGGTCTCCAGAACGACCTCAGTAGCCGAGACGTCACGCTTCGCCATCGTGGTCCCACTTCCCTCCTGTGAAGGCAGCTATGTCACCGGCAGGGGGCTGATGGGAGACAGGGCTGCCTGCAGTGGGGTCACCTTGGCTGCCTTCAGCCCCTGGGAGACAGCGCGGGTGGGTCTCTGGGCTGCTGGGCCCGTGCCAGGGGCTCTAGCTGAGCATGTGCTGGGACCCTCTTCCACCAGGCCTGCGAGCTCGCAGCCTCCTGGGTGCAGACATGGCTCCTGGGCAAGCGCGGGGTGCCCAAGGCATGCCGTCGCTGTGACAGGGGGCCTTCCTCGAGGGCCGCCACTCCCCGTCATGGCTCAGGTCAGAGGTGGGGTAGGATCTGGAAAGGTGGCAGATGACTGGCCTCGCCCAGGTGGCCCATCCTGGCGCCACCCTGACCCGTGGCCTGTTGGTGCAGTTGCCCACCTCGCTCTGCAGGTTGAGGGCAGCTGCCTGCCTTCTGCTCCTGGGGCACGTGGCCTCCCCCACAGGTGTGACCGCATCTCCTGTCCCGTGCCCCTCCCCAGCTCATTCCTGACCACCCCCCGAAGGGCGCATCCTGGGTCCCTACGTGGAGTCGTGGTCTTCTGGATCTTTGCTCTTGAGCCTCCTGACCCTTCTCTTCAGCATTCTCTCAAGGGTGACCTGGAACCACCAGGAGGGACCAGGCAGAGCAGGCCATGATTCCTTCCAGGTTTCCAGGAGCTGTCCCACACAGGTGGAAACCTGATCCCCGCGCTTTTGCCAGGAAATGGATTGCCAGCCGTGGGAGAAAGTCCTCATCAGTAGCTGCCCCTAGGCTGGCTGTTGCCCACCTGCAGCCCCCCGCAGCCCCCCGGCCGGCTCCCAGGCCTGCTCTCCTGGCCTCCTGGTACATGTTATCAAGGCCTCTTCAGCAAGTACCTCTCTGACCTGAGCAGGCCCAGCACTGCCCCACTGGCCATGCTGCTGGAGGGGCCAGCAGCAGACCCTGAGCAAGGCTGGGTGGCATGACCTCTCTGCTCCGCAGGGAGGGGTCTGCTCTTCCCCCAGGGTGAGGGGCCACCTGCAGGCTCGGCTTCACAGGGGAGTCAGGGTCAGTGATCTCTCCCAGGCTCAGGGACAACTTCCCTGCAGGGCCTTGGCTGGACTCTGGTACTCCTGGTACTCTCAGGACTCAGCAGTCTCTGGCGCGGTCTGGGCTCAGGCTGCATGAGGCTGCTGCGGAGTGTGAGCGCCCCCTGCAGCGCGAAGCGTCCCCCAGGGGCCCGGGCCACGGGCACCAGAGCTGCTGGGGAGTGCTGGGGATGCCGCACCCACCGCCCTCCCTGCGGCTTCCGTCCACAGGAGAACGACTTCCTGCAGGACTGCCTTGATGCCATCCAGCAGGACTTCGTGATTTTCAACAGAGAGAAGTGAGTGGGGCCGAGACCAGCAGCCCCGCGCCATTGAGGAGGCTGGGCAGTGCCCATGGCGGGAGAGGTGGGAGGCCCCTGTTCAGGTTCCTTGGTGGGGACGGAGTTCCTGGGCACCTTGGGGTCAGCAGCCAGGGTCTGTTGGGGAGACACTCAGCCACTGCTCAGATCAGGCTGATGGCCTCCTGCTGGCCGCCAGGCCCTGCTACTCAGTCTCTCCTTCACTCAGCAAACCTGCCTTGTCAGGTAGGAAGGGGGCAGAAAGGGCCCAGGTGGCTGATGGGGCAAGACAGGCCACACAGCTGACAACCTGCCTCGGTGGAGGAAGGAAGGCTGGTGCAGGGAGACACAGGGGGAGTAAAGGCTCCCCCTTCTGGAGAGGCGGGGAGGGCTTCCTGCAGGAGGTGGCTCTGCACCAGGACAGCAGGACGTGGGGGACAGTGTGAGGCTGGCTGAGGACACTGGCCCGTCCTGGGGATCAGAGAACAGGGTGAAGAATGGGCTGTTCCAAAGTCGCTGACCCTAGACTGGGCACTAAGCCAGGCCTCCCTTCAGTTTCTGAGCGTCACGCAGTCAGGCAGAGCTGCCCCCAGGCTCCCTGCTGTGCCCAGCCCGCCTGGTCGGGAGATGCCCAGCACTGGCCCTGGGGGTACCTACACCATGTCCTGAGGAGCACATCCCTGTGTCCCCTCTCCAGGCTGAAGAGGAGCCAGGAACTCACCAACGAGCCTCTCCCGGCCCCGGAGACTGCAGCTCCACTGGAGGCCACGGCAGACAGCGAGGAGGAGCCCGTGGCCCTGCCGGCCTGCCGCTCCATCTGCCCCTCGGGCGGGAGCAGCTAAGCCGCCTGGGCAGAGAACCGGGGTCTTCAACCTTCAGGCTGCTTTGGAGACTTGGCCCACCAGGGAGGGTGCAGTGGGCTGACGGCCAGGCCTGCCCTCAGCACTGCCATGTGGGTGCCCGTCAAAGGTGGCAGTTGGACAAGGAGGGCTGGTGCCACCGGGGCCCCAGTTACCGCAGGGTGGAAGGCACGTGAACTGCCTGCTCAGCCCCTCTGCTGGACGGCAGGTCGAGAGGCCAGGGTGGTGCGAACACGGCTGGAGTCCCCGGCTCTCCAGCCCCTAGTGGACCCAGCTGTACAGTCTCCTTTCCAGGCCCTGCTTCCCAGGCTATGGGAGGGGCCGCGTTTGCTCCTTCTTGTATACCAAGGCAGGGCCTCGGGGGAGGGAGGGGGAGGAGAAGGGAAGGCCAGAATGTTTTCTAGGTACACACTGTTCTGGCAATTTCTGCTGTTTCTGTATAGTTTTCACCTCTGAGAATTACAGCGTAAGAACTTCTCTGTCCAGTGTTCTGTGTCCGAACCCCAAGGGGACCAATGCCTGCAGTCACGTGGAGAAGGCTATGGACTGGGGCAGCTGGGGTGGGGGCGTGTACGGACCGGCTCCTGCTGGGGCACAGCCTCCCCAGGCCTCAGGACCGTGGCATGCACACATCCTGGGGCCCCAGGGCTGGTGATGGACACCGCCAGGTCAGGGTGAGGTGTGCACACATGCTGCCGGAGGCTGGAGAGTCTTGGGCAGCAAGTGTGGCCCCGGAGGGCTGGGCATCAGGGCTGGACCATGGGTCTCCAGGACAGGACGGCTGCCTGTCATGGTCGCCAGTGTTCTGGAGTCAGACCAGGACTGTGTGAGCAGCCGCACCAGCCTCTCCTGTACTGGAGGAGGTGGGGCCCAGCTCCGTTCACCCAGAGCTCCATCCGCTGCATGGGCTTACTTGGGGGGAGGGGTGCATTACCTGTGGCCCTCCCAGGACAGCAGCCGCACCGGGCACTGTGGTGAGTGTCTGAGTCTGCGCCTGCAGAGCCACCTCTGCCCCAGCACACGCTGTCCCCTGCCCAGCTGGGGTGGAGGACAAACTGGCTGTGCCAGGAGCAGAGCAGCAGCTTTAGGCCCTGCCACTCCTGGCCTGAGACCCATGGGAACTGATGGCAGGGCCCTCAGCAAGGCCAAGGCCACAGACTCCACACGGTGTGCACACCAGAAGGGACACAGTGCCCAAGTCGCTACCAGAAAAGGAAATGCAGCCCAGCCAGGTGGCCAGGCCCCAGGGTGGGCCCAGAGGAGGCCACGCTCTGGATGGAAATCCAGGGGTGTCAGATGTGCAAATGAGGGAAGATTTTGAGGTTTTGTATCCACGCGTAAACCCAAGAAAGGACGGGTGTCCAGTGCCCCACTCCTCATTGGGACTGTGGGCACACAGGCATGGTGGACATCAACCTGGGCGGAGCTGGGGACTCTGGCTTTGAGGCCGCACCAATCAAATGTGTCTGGGCCACAGGAAGCCCAGGACAGATGGCTGAGCACAGGAGGGGCCTCTCCAGGGACCTGTGGGGACCAGCACAACTTCGGGTGGACCCTCACTCAGACGTGTGCTGATGGTCCCCAGGGACATGCCCTTGGTCAACACTGAGAACTGATGCCTCAGGGGAAGAGAGTGGGCAGTGGGAGGCACTGCTCCTGGGTGGGAATGTCCCACCTGGACTACACAGTGGCATCATGTTAATGAGAAAGAGCCCGAGGCTGGGGGCTAACACAGCATCGCTAACTTCTAGAAGGTTCTGGATCAGAGCCCTGTGGCTGCTATGCCTCAGCTCCATGTGCCCAAGCCTTCTGGGGCAGCTTGGAGCTGGCCAGTCAGAATGGGTGTCTTCCTGGGGCCAACATCCCTGCAGCCAGTGAGGAAGAGCCCTCCCACCAGGCAGACCGTCCTGCCCGGTCCTGGAGTGGGGCAGAGGCTGTGTGGGTGCAGCCTCAGCCAGCAGGAAGCCCAGGAAGGGCAGCAGAAGGCTC